ATATATATATATATATATATATATATATATATATATATATATATATATATAATCGTCAGCAAGGATGTAAGATTTAGCAAATCTTTTTGCGAGCAAAGTCTTTTTAATATTTCAGGATCCTTGCAGTAATCGTTTGGTTAGTAGTGATTATGCTAATGCGATACGTACCGAAGCAGTATCACTACTGGAAAGAAGATACCCTCCACCAATGAAGGTACGAATATTACCGCCATCTGTACCCGATGATTTCTCATCTCCCAATATGACAAACTCTTTAAGGTTATCAAACCCATCAAACGACCAATCATTACTTCAGAATTACATGAATCAAAGTCAAATTTTATAAACAACGGCTACGATTCAAAACAAAAAGTCGGACACTTCCTAAATTTTCTTAAAGCATCTGTTTCTTGTAGTATACTTAAGAAAGAAAGCTGAGAATTATTTCCCGGGGTTCGGGAATGCTTTAAATGAATTGGAAGGATCATTTATGGTCTATGAACATTTGTTATCTCATCTATAATGCTTCTCTTACTTTTCTTTCTCTAGTCATTTAAAAGAATTTTTGGTATTGTTGAAAATACTCCTGTTAGTCACGCTGATCTGTTTTCCAAAATTTGAACATATAACGTAGGTAGATATTTCTGTCACTTTTTGTTTAAACTTTTGTTGGATATCCGTTGTGCTTATCTGTGATTCAGTTGTTTGCGTAGGCAGTCTATTTTCATTTTATCTAAAATTCAAAGGTCTAACTGAAATCTTAAAAAGGGCACATTCTAGCCAATTCTTGTTTCAGTCCTATTCTATCGGAGTTTATGGAAGTTCAACTTGCATTAAGTCTCAGTTATTTAAATCTCTGACATTTTTCTTCGTCAAGGCCTTTCATATATTTTTTTTGTAACATAATACATCTTATCCAAACTACTCGATCTCTTTATCTACATATGTTTATGAAATTGTATAATACGAATCGTTGTAAGCGACGCATTGTTTTTGTTACCAAAATAAAGATGATGTGCAAAAATGAAACTTTGTTGAAAACAGAAAAACGAATCCCGACCGCCATAAAAGTCTGGTGTAATCCTTCAAGTTGCATGCTGATGCAGAAATGCCAGCAATGATTACAGTAAGAAGGAGACCAATATCCGGAAAAAAACTGAAAAGATGAAAGTCAAGATGATAACTAGGAACAATATAAACATAATTTGAATAGTGTTTAAGAAAACGGTCCGAAAAAATTAAGCAATGTTTATTTTTCCGAGCAAACTTTCCTAACAATTTGCGAATTAGTACAAATTCAAAGATGCGGGATTAAAGAATCTAGGAGGCTGATTCGAATGTAATGTCCAGCAGCTCTTTCATGGGTGCATTCTTTTTAATACACTCTTCAGTTTGAATTCATTTGTTGAGGCCATTCAGTAAGAAAAACTTGAATGATGTTTGGGTTTGACCGATTTTTTGGCTCGGTTGTATTATTCGATTGAAAACAGCTATATCCAACAGGATAATGTGCATATTTCATTTAAAATTCGTTAGAATATATTCGATTTCATAAACATTCTGGAGATTTTTGAAGAGAAAGTATATTAATCAGACATTTTAAATGATTGCAGATGAGAGTTAACGATTTCGAGATTTCCGTGACTTCGACTTTGTGTTTTTCTTTCCGGGTTTTGATTTGGAAGTCTTCGATTCCAATACATAAGAACTTTCGTTAGCATTGATCGTAGGCGTATAATAACAACTTTTTGTATCATGTAAACCTAATATTTTTGCTGAAAATTTGGTAGTTTTATAAATAAATCTTATTTATAGCACCACGAAAACTTCCAAAATTTCGGATCATTTGCTCGTCACTTATATTTGCTACCCCACCTTCACCAAGTTGCTAATAACTATCACTAATTGTACTAGCGAGTGAATTTCATTGAACCTGATGATCGAGTGCCTAATCATCTGCAAAATTTGTTAAATAAATGAAAAATCTTTAATGAAGTCATTCAAATATCTCCGAAAATGACGAACCAAGTCTGTGAATTGAGTTAATCAATTGATTACTAAATATATTTAGTCAATTAAAATGCTATCACACCCCATCCGATCGATAATCTGATCTTTTTATCTTATTCTTCATTTCCCGAAATAATTTTGACATACATTTGGGACTGCTAGACTTTGGCATCATGAATACAGATTGTTGTTCGTCAACACTTTTCGATCCCAAGTCGCGTTCTTTCTGTTCTAGCCTAACCGATCGCTGGGATCGTTGACTGAATTCTCTCTCTCTTTCAGATTTTACATTGAAAATCTTGGATTCGCATGCGCCTGCTCGTACCATTTCATCTTCCTTCCCTTTCACCCAGTCCAGTTTTTCAGACTGTAACAAGCATTGCTTCTCAAGGATCACAACCATACGATACTTTGCTATAATTGCATTTCGAATGCCAACAGAACTAATCAAAATAACGATCTCCACTCGATCGGTCAGGCATCAAAATTAAAATTTAAGATGATGAAAGAATGATATGAGATATTTGAAGTCGTTTAGTTTAGAAAGGTCATTGGAACATATGAAATTTAGAAAAATTTATGTGAATGCTAATAACAAAATACTAAATATTGACCTTCTACAGTGAAATCAATTAAATCCGAGACAGCTGCTGTAAATTACTTTCAAATTCAGCAAAGTAATTTACAGAGAACAAATAATATTTACCATCGTGTCATTTCTAGTTTGAATTGATTTTAATTCAAATCTGATTGAAATCTACCTATTTTTAAAACGTCATGCAAAAAAAATTGTTTGTTGTTAATCATACTAGAAATGAGAAATCTAGAAATGAGGAAATTTTAAATCGAAAAGAATTAAGGAATTTTATATTTCCCGTGTGGAATTCCCATACGAAATTTCACAAGTGTGGTATGGAATTTTTTAATTTTCTCTAATTCAAAATTTTCACTTTTAAAAATATATATCAGTATGCACAAAAATATATATCAATCTTTTTTTTATATCATTGCAAATAACCTTATAATTGCCGTTCACAATAGCATTTCGGAAAATGTTTTTGATTAAATGGTAATCCGGTTTTGTATCATATTGAAAGCTGTTTATTTGGCGTAGTACGGTATTTACACCGACTGGCAACCCTTTACATTTTTTAAATATTTTGAGATAACCTGTAAAGTGTAAAGTGAGTAAACATTGACTTTGGAAGAATGAAATAAAATTGCGATAAATGCGATACAATTTTAATTGATGGTAAATTATATTTAATTTTCAAGGACCCCGGCAGGTAGTTTGTTTGAAACAGTTTGTTTTTGAAAATTGAATAGTGCCAAATAAATCACTCTCGAAATGTATTTCTTCTCAGATTAGAAAAGACTTTGAATATTTCTTAAACTGAAAATTCATTTAATTCTGGATGTTTTCTGAAGAACACAACTTTAATATATTAAAATGTGCAAGAGAGTCCAGATGTTGTTTCTACAAACACATATAAATTAAGCAACATTACCTGTAGCATCACTGAAGAAGGACCGAGTAGGATTTTCCAGGAACAAAAGTAGCCGAGCTTATTAAATATCAATGCCTTACCGTTATTCATAAAAGCTTCCTTTTTTTTTAGCACCGCTGTATGATTCTTTTCATCCTCCCATGGCAGTGATGATGTGGTCAAGAAAAATTCAACAATCATATAAAGCCAACTTTCCAGATCATCTTTACGAGACCGTTCCAAATATTTATGAGAGTTTCTCGACATATAACGGATATTACCCATTCGATGCACTTTATTGCGTTTTTTCCTGAATTTTCCAATATATTAATGATAACGAATGCATGAAAAAAGAGGATATGAAAATAGATACTTAAGAATTGAAATCAAAAGAATTAGATCAAATTTGAAAGAATAATTTATCAAAATATCATTTAATCAAACCAAAATTGAAGTAAATCTGATTCTTTTTTTAGGCAAAAAAACTCCCTAAATTTCCGATCTTTATGAAAATTACAAATAATCTATTAAATTTATCAAATTTTATTTCCTAAGCAATACATTACATTACAGGATGTCACAGAATTTGTTGTCACAAAATTTTAAAAGGAAAAAAAAAACACTATATAAATGAAAGTGGAAAATTATCCACTTAGATGAAATAATTGCACGGTAAGGTTCTACGTACACCGATGTGTTTTTGTCAGTTGTCTTGTAACGTCGTGCAAGGCCAAATCCAAGAAGGAATAATTGACTTTCTTCCGATTCTAATCCAATCGCATAAACTGCCGGTTTTATATCTTATAAAGAAGAAATCTTAATAAAATACAAATCTCTGCTCCTTGCAGAGAAAAATTTGTTATGAAAATGTCTGATGGAAAAAAAAGAAAGACGGAGAAAAAATATAAAAGTTTAATTGAAGTTACTATTCCACCTCGATGAATAAATCCGATTTTATGAATCTCTTCGATGCACTCAATTGCCAAATATGAAAGCTTCAAGCTCGTGGCTGTGGAAAATTCTCTGAATCTATCACGAAGATCACTGACCGTCTCGCCAAACTGGATTTTCATCATAACAGATATTGGCAGTTACTAGTGTCAGGACAATTCCAATTTACCGCAAGGAAAACTCCTCACTTAAACTCAAGTAGCAAATGATGGATTCGTACTTCAGTTGAATAAAAACTCAAATTTTAAATCAGTTCTGAAAGATGAATGTTACTGAAAACGCTGGAGATGGTACAACTACTTCCAGCAAGAACTCAACAAAGAAACATTTATTGGCACTAATATAGTTTCAATTTAGACATTTAATTTAGTGTAAACATTAATATTTTCGTGAGTAAATTTAGTCAAAGGCACTACAGAACAAAAAAGGGTAGGAATGAATTGGTTTTATGGCATATTTTTTTATAATTTCTGTAGGATTCTACATATTTCTTCGAAGAACGTGATTTCAAGATCGTACATTAATATTCAATAATACTTTAACTGTTACTTTGCAGCATTTAATTAAGCCAGCTTACCATTTTTGTCATAAAATATCGTATATCAACCTTTGCATTCTTCCCTTGCGAAATTAATGAAAAAATATGCGTCAATTTTCTGACTTTTGTGCTACTTTTCAATACGTCTATTTCCACCTATAATTTGTATCAGTTATATTCGGGCATTTGAAATTAATAACTCTACGGTATTTTTGTGACCATCAGGCTTTTGTATATTAAAATATCATTGACATCATTCGGTCATTTCGTGGTCATAAAACATATTTTAAAACACATAAAACATATTTTCGTGGTCATAAAACATAAAACATATTTAAGATTATGAAGACTAAATGATTTATGTTACAAAGCCTTACGACCTAACGAGATATTGGCAATTGGCAACAATATAAAGAGAATAAATATTTATTTGTTATCAAATGATCTATGAACTGTTTTTGCTTCATATTCTAATAACAATTTGATGGACGCTTATAATACGAATAAAACTCGAAACAGCATTAATTTCAATTACAGTTTTTGAGTTAAGGAAATGGTCGTTGACAAATTTATTAAACCTGCAACCGTTTGATTTTACATTTTTGTGCTTCGTAATGCAAAGCAAACAGTGCTTTAGAATTTCCTCTCTCCATTAGGCCAACGATACCATAATCGCCTTTTATTGGTCCATCTATAATGTAACTGAAACTTTTTTGAAATTTAAATTAAAATTCATTGTGTTTGATTTACTTTATGAAAATTAATCTAGATGAATAAGATATTCATAGTGTCTGTCAGATCTTCCATCATAGGTCTAAAGAAAGTTAGGAAAAAGTCTACGGAAGTTATTGAAAACTTTGAAAAAATGATTGGTGCGCAAGTATAACGATGTCAGCCATTCCTGTCTTATCATCCGTTATTAATCAACCAAAGGGTTATTCGTGATCATTGCATTTGGTCACTTCAAGATTTTACATCATTAGAATATGAAAACATCAAAAGTACCGTTTTCTATCAATTTCAATTATTTCGCCATCTTTCAAGAAGGTTTTTCCCTTTACTTCTATTGGAAGTTCTGCTTCAATTCCGGACTGTTCATTTTCCTGAGCCAAAAAGTGAAAAATCTATACAAATAAAGAATGCTTCCCGTAATGAAAGCCGAAAAGAAAAGTAGTCTCCTATTATTTTCCAATTAACTTTAGGGTTAGGTAAACACAAATCGAAATGATAAATTGGCGAGCAGGAAAGCTTCCACAAAACAATTGCTTTCAATAAAAGGTATAACAACTTCGGAAGAGAAGGATATGGCTTCGACAGTTCGTCTGCTTGTGACTTCCGTAATTTCCGATTCAGTTTTTCCTGCCAAACTTGTTGAATCTTCATTGCCTTTGGTTTTTTCCGCTGTTTTCTACAAACAAAGTGTAGATCTGGAATTCATTTGAATGACTTTAAATGTGCAGGGTCTTGAACCGTCATGTTCCAGAAAATCTTGAACGTTTAAAGTTAAACGAGCAAATGAATGAATGGTAGGGGAAATTATTAAACTGTTTCATTAGCTATATATCTATATATTTTCATGGTTGATACACTGATATAATGAATATTCTTGTGGATGGTACAGTGATAATGGTCAAGAGCTCCTTATCTCTCTTATATTTCATTGAAATTCAGTTTAATGAGTTTCGATTTAATATAATTTAATCTAATTTCAGTTCAATTATTTTTCGTACACATCGTTAGTATCTCAATCTTCTGTTCTACTGAAATATTTCCTTTATCCTGATACTGTGATATGCTTATGTTAAATCAACACTGGAAATTTTTCAATTGCGTAAAACTTGTAAATCGTAAAACGCAAAGCTAAGAACGTAAAACGTAAAACTCATAAAACTTATAGGATCCCAAACAGACATGAAAGTGTATTTATTTGGAGGACCTTAATTTTCGATTTCATTTTGTTGCCAGGTGGTTATGCACAAAGTCATCAGTAGTGATAGGAAAATGTTGAACTGTCGCTTTAAAAGGAAGCCAACAATCGAAATACCTAAACTTTCTATTAACTAATTAAGTAAGCTGAGCAATGGTGAATCTTCGTCAACATTAACTGAGCATTGCACTAAGGGATTCGCTTGTTTATCAAATTTTAATTAATAACTTTATTAAACTTCATTTCTTCGATAGAGGATTTTTTCTAAAAAAGCGCTCCAACCTGTCATTTCCCACAACTAATTACCCATTTCCCTACTCGGGATTGATGGATATGAAAGGTCGAGATAAAAACTCACCAATGGAACTGCCCGGTGCAACCGTCAGGCCAAGTGATCAACTAAAGAATATCTGTTACTCATTAACCTCACTCATTTATAGATGCACTTGCTAAGCATTTGCATAGAATTGAACGAGAATGTGCAACAACAAGCAAGAACAGACAGATTTATTCTCTGGAAGGATTTAATAAGTTCAGTCTTCCTGTGAAATAAACGTGCTCTTTCTAGCTCGTGTTCTTTCTTGCTCGTCTCCTTCCTGGCTCGTCCCATTGCTGCTTCTTTTGAGTCTCAACCAGGGGTCTTAAGAAGGCATAACGTACATTGGTTGGGATAAAAATTTGCATGCATAAGATATCGAACGAGCGATAGTTGAAAGGAAAGGGACAAGTCGGAGGTGGACGTGGATGGGTGACCTTGTTGTCTTACTTCTGGGCAGGATTGCGACAGTGGAGGTATTCGGCGATAGTTTCGTTCGGGTATCATGAGAAGATACTGAGATAGCTGTCTCCTAATCTTTTCTCTCGGTAATTGCGGGATTCTTCTTTACATGTAATGTTTCGTTATCAGTCAGCTCAGCACTGTCCTCTCCCTCGGATACAGTGGTCATTTACAGGAGGAGAGGTGGCAGGCTTTCCAGTTTGAAAATGATTAATTAGGAATGGGTAGGACAGGTATAGAAGTGGTATAGAAAGCTTAAAAATAGGACATTTGTTTGCAACTGTGTGATGAATAAACGGAGGAGACTGATAAAAAATGCGAGGAACTAACAGTGTGATCGGATGGGGAATGGAGTGTTAGCAGCACAAAGCGGATCCTTAGTGAAGTTGTCATACTCTCTGATTATGTATTGGAAACTGGCACAATTTCACTTTTTCCGTCGAAACTTGCTACGCCACATAACATATATTTAGCTTGTTACGTGGCGTGTACGTATCTTCTTCTGCGTATCAGGCATCATGACTTGGAAACCTTTGAAGTTCGTATTGAGTTACTGTTGAAATGGGATGGCATGTATGCCCGGTGGGAAGGCTTGATATGGTTTATTGAAGTTGCCTTACTCACTGATATCCTTGAGAATGTCAGGGCGTTTCTGTGCTTAAGCATGTATCACATCCAATGCACACCTTTGAAAGAAATCCGATGCAAACCTTTCGAAAAAATTTTCTTTGAAAGAAGAGCAACTGCTGCCAAAAATTGACTTACGTATTTTATTGACGGAGCGATCGCTTAATGTTTCTCTTCCTGTTAAAATTTGTAGTTTCCATTTTTAAGGAAGAATGAATGATCATGAGCATTCCCCACGAAGGCGATTACGATCTTGGCAGTCAAATGATACCAATATCTCGTCATCGTCAAGTCATTCTTCACTTATTTCACTTGCTTTTAAAAGGTAAGTTTTGCCTTTTCTTCTTTTAATGTTTTTTGAATCTTGAGTTATTGTAGTTAATGCCATAAACCTATTTATATTTGCTTGTATTAGCCATTTTTTCAAGTTAAAGTTGGGAAGATCGCTATCCTATTTAATGAATTTCATCTTCCTTCCTTGTCTATGTTTCCATTCGCCTTCCTTTTTTTCAGAAATAGTTACGATCCAGAAAAACCAGTTCATGTTGCGCAGGATTCATTGTTCAGTGGGAGTTCCGGTTGGAAGGATTATCGAGGATTTTTAAATCTTGCAGTTCTTCTACTGTTCGTATCAAATGGTCGTGTTGCTCTTGAAAACATCATAAAGCAAGTGATAAGACCTAATGATACCCAAGTAATTGCTAATTGGCTTTTCTCATTTGATATTTTGCAGGTATGGTCTGTTGGTATCACCAACTAGTTGGATTTATTTTATTTCAACGGATCCTTGGTGGAAATGGCCTAATCTGGCAATGGTGCTCATGTCGAACATATCCATTGTCACTGTATTTACTGTGGAAAAATCGTTGGGTATGTTAAATAGTAAAATCAGTCTAGAGTTTTCATCTCAAATACTTGAAAGGTTTCATGAATTGGTCTTTCTGGTTTTTTGTCAAATCGAAAGGTATTGGAACTCTGTGTCCGAGCAATGTTTATGGGAGGTATTTTTTTATTTTAGTATGGAAATGGCTTAGCAATCAACTGGCTTTCGCCTTCTACTTGTGCATATTCTCATTACATATATCCGTACCTGCTGTAATCATTTGGACTTTGCAGGTAACATTTCGGAATAAATACAGTCTGTTTCCTAATCATTTAATTAGGTTGTATATCCTAGAAGCTAGCAAGCTTCAAATCGATGCCATCCTTGATTTGTTTTCAGAGTTATCCATTATATTCAGTGTTTTCACTCTCGGTGTATGTAATACTTTTTCTGAAGCTCACGTCATATGTTCATACAAACTATTGGTATAGGTGTATAAATACGAAGAACAGGAATTTTAAGGTAAATTAAAGATTTCCTTCGCAGTTTTAATTTTCAAGTCTTGTTTCCACTTAATTTTTCGTCGTTTTTAATTTCACGGTCAGAGTTGGAATACCGTCATGTGAAATCATCATGTGAAATAACGTTTTCTAAATAATAATGCGTGTACTTACAGAACTTATTTTTTGTTAGTTAAATTTAAATTACTTATGTTTTTGTTTTCATTCCTAATTATTTCATTAATTTCATGTAATTTGTAGTTCTTGTGACTTGTATGAAGCTGGAATTTCGAAATTTGATTATTTCATTATGTCATCCCACCTCATTATTCACAACATTTGAAAATGCATCCTGATCTTGCAGATTTTAGGCGTAGTTTACGTACTAACAATTATTGAAAGATCAACTTCCCACAAAAGTGTTTTCGATGTCGCCTAAAGCGTGCAGTGAATATCAAGACTAGCCGGTGACAATTTTTTTTCTAGTCGTTATTCAACTTTTTAGTTTTCTGCCTTTTATTTTTGTCGGTTTTATTTATATTTTTACTAGTAAGCTTAAGCACTGTCTTATCTGCGTGAAATGACTTAAGCTTTCACAATTTTCCAAGTCTTGTCTACATTCAGAGCTGCCGTTGCTGTTATATAAATCTCGCTTGTTTTCATAGCAAAAGTTTCGTAATGACATCCCTCATCAAATAATTTCGATATTTATTGGTTAAGATCAATAACTGATATAGATGGATTTTTTGGGTGAAACCCAGAGAACATATCCTCATCTTGATATGGTCACACTTGCATGATTATGACTCTTTATTTTAAAAAATCATCTACTCTTTTTGTTTGTGAATTTTTAAATTGCTTTTCCTTGTATGCACTATTTTTGTAGCTACTGCCTAATCTCATGTGGCACGGCTTATTGATTTCCTATCTCTTACCGTACTCGCTTCGTGTCAATTTTCTATCTCTTGTTCTGCTCACATTTTTTCTGAAAATGAAATACACTACTAAAATGAATAACTTGCACTATTGGCCTGTTTGTTGTACTTTTTCCTTCAGTCTTTAAATTTTGAATCTTCCGTTTTTTTACAAACCAACCTAAAAGTCGATGTTTTTTTTGCTTTCAGATTTTTTTCCCTTGCTTTTCCAGAAAACTTGTTCAAGCGGAAATATCCCGAAGTAATTATTGATCCCTAGATCAAAGTTCGAAGTTTAACTTTACAGAAAGGAAATCTACTGACATATCCACACAATTTGACACTACAAAATTTATACTACTTTATATTTGCTCCAACTTTATGCTATGAATTACAATTTCCACGAACAAATGGACGAAGAAAATCGTTCATCATGAAGCGAACTGCCGAGGTTTAATTTTTTGCTTGTCTACTTCAAAAAACTTATTTTTTAACTTTCATAACATTTGATTTTGAAACTTTAGAAGCGCATGTTAAAAAAGTTATGCTTATTTAAAACTTTTTTTTTGCTTCATAACATTGAAATTATCATATTTCTAGTCCTTTGATTTATTTTATATAATGTTAGCTTGCATTTCAGTTTGGTTGTCTGACGCTGATCATAACAGCTTTATGCCAACAATGGGTAACACCTCTGTTACGAAATAGTGTGGAACCATTTACAGCAATGAATTTTAGCTTGTGCGTCGAAAGAGTTCTTAAATTAGCTGTGCCGAATCATGTAATTTGGCTTATTTCCTTCTATACTGCTTTCCATTCTCTTCTCAATCTTATTGCTGAATTAATGGAATTCGCCGACAGACAGTTCTATTTGTGAGTTGAAAGAAATTTTATAAATGATTAATGGATTGAGAAAATAAGATGTCTAAATCATGCATTTATAATTCTTTATAATTTATAATTCTTCCCATGATTACTAAGATTATTGGGCTTCATTTCATCAAACTATGGAATATAGGATTTTGTCATCTCACTGAGTTACAAGCAAAAATTATTTCGTATCCAAAGTTCTAATTCATGGTATAAATCAGAGCCTTTGGATTAAGCTGTACATATTGTTTGTTCTTTGTAATACGTCTTCGTTTTTGCTAGATGGGCCATGCGAATTATTTTTTTCTCGTTATTCTCATCAATGTAACTAATGGAAAAAACTTCTGCAGTTTGATGTCCTGTTTGCACGTCAAAATTATCTTCGACTAAATTAATATACTTCTACATTTTGCAATACTGCGATGCTGCATGTGACTTCCCTTTGCTTTTCATGTTTTTGAATAGAGAATCATGAACCAAAAAGAAGTCTAAATCCATAGCAATGTTGAATTATTATTGGTAATGAAAGAATAACGGTTTCTTCAGAGATTTCTGGAATGCAGAAACTTTGGCAGTATTTTGGAAGACATGGAATATACCGGTACATCGTTGGGCTCTTCGACATATTTATCGGCCAATGATATTTAATGGCTTTAGCAAGATGAGTGCTGCATGTGCCGTTTTCTTCGTGTCTGCATTTTTTCATGAGTATCTCGTTAGTGATACTTCATAATTTCATATCAATAAAATTTTTTAGTTTTATAATTAAAAGCTAGAAGGAGTTAATATATCGGGAATTCTTGAAATTGGAAAATTATTACTGATAAAGTTTCTTTTTTTAAGAGGCTAAGTAAAGTATGGTGGATTTTGATTACTGTGCAGGCACGCTTTGTCAACGCTTGGAGTTCTAAAAGTAGATCATAGTGAAATCACGAATTGATTGTTTCGATTATAAAATGATGCTCCAAACTGTAACTAATCTTAGTAACATCAGTTTTATAGTCCAAACGAAGGTAGGTAATCAGAATGATTGTGCTCTTGTAATCATTCTCAATATTACAAATGAAACATCGTATTGAAATCTTGCTAATATTTTAGTAGATTAGCAAGATTTGTCATTTTTTCAATTTGTATAATTTGCATTCGACTTTGTAGTTTGGATCTTTAGAGAAATAAAGGAAAATGATTAAAATTATCCATGTTTCAGGTATCAGTTCCACTCCATATGTTTCGTTTTTGGGCATATCTCTGCATGATGGCACAAATACCCCTCAGTATTTTTACTGAAAAAATACTAAAAGGAGGCCGTCTTGGAAACATCGTTATGTGGTTATCATTGATTCTTGGTCAACCCTTGACCATTTTGATGTACGTACATGATTGGTATGTTGCACAGTATCCACATTCATCGAAGTATGTGGATGCATATCACAATGTAACCATTTAATTTTAGTAATAATCGATAAATGATGACAAATGACTTCACGCTTCATGCCTCTTAGCCATAGTTAATGTTTTACCATAGTTTATGCTGTACAACTTACTACTGTACTACGTGATAGATATGAAAAGATAGATTCCGCTTGACTTTTTTTTGATAATTTTCATGTAGTACGATAGCTAGTGCTACTGCCTTCAATTTCATGCGTTACTGATTCATATTATCTCACTACTTTTTGATACGAACAGCCTTGTAATGAATGAATTCCTTTTTGCTGTTGGCTTTATATGGATAAATGCTTTTGTTCTTTTTTTGAGCTTTTCATTAATTTTCTATGGGTTATTTTCATGTATGCTGTTTTCAAATCGGAGAAATGATAATCGGTGGAATTCATGATTATTTGGAAACATTCGTCAATTACAAATAAGCTTTATTGGCCGTAATTTGTCATTCTATATTGTTTATTTGTATTTTTATGGTCATATCTTTTCAAGTTTTTCATCTGCCTTACTTTCAAATTGTTTTGTCTATTGATTATTTTTGCATGCAGAATGCTCATGGGGTCATTACAGCACCATTTTTATTTTTACATGTCGTATTTTTCTTCAGTTTTGTTTTAAGCTTTTAATCTGTTATCACAGTTGACGTGGTGTCACGGTGATTGTTTTTTAAAATTGTAATTTGAAAACTTTAAGGATTTATTGTGGGCTAGTACTTTTTTCATGATCAATTACCCAATAAACTCACACTTTACTTTTACTATTTTGTTTGACTAGTGAATTTTCTATGCGAAATTATTTGTTAAAATCTATGATTCTAGAACCCTCCCTTTTTTCGATTCTCATTAATGCATCCAGTTTATTCATCAAGATGAGAGTTTTCCAAAAATTTTAAAATCCGAAAATTTTGTATCATGAAGTTTTGAGTTTTGAAGTCCATATCAATATGCCGCGCGACACTTTTGATTGTTGCGTTATCAATGATGGTGCAGGGCGATGGTTCGTTTATTTCGATAAACTGCGTTCAATAATGGTTGTCACTGATAGCATGGTAAATTTTTATTGATCAGCATAAGAGTCGTTTCATATTTGACGATTTTTTATTTCGGAGGAAGCATCACTTTTTCTCGTTATGTAAATGGATTCTTGCAGGAAGTAATGAAAGATTCAGGATAACCTTGAATGTGGTTATGATTTTTCTGGAACTTAATGGGAATTCATGCGTTTGTTATCATACATAGCAAGAAGCATAATATTTCTTTTTAACCAGGGCGGTCTTTTTCTAGGCGTCAACCTACGAAAAGACGATGACAACCAAGGACCGAATCGAATTTGCTGGGAATGTCTCTGAATCACTTCTCGAACAGTCTTGGCAGTAAGTATTGCGCGAAATGTATTTATTAGGTCGTTCAAAAAAAAAAATGTTGGAGGGATAAAAGCATATTGTATTAGATGGATCAAAATTCACAACTTCTCACTGTTGACGATTTATGGAATCCTTGTCAAGTGAGTTTTCATAATGAGTTTCAGTTTAATGCGTTTCATACTATATGTCGCACGATATCAGCAGTATCAAAAAAAATTATTTGGGACAGCATTAGTTTTTCATTTAATGAATTTATTGACATCGGAACATGGAACGTGGTTCACTGTTCATCGGCTGAATGATCGGAAATGATTATTGCCAGAAAATCACGAGATTCATAATGTAATTGGTATTTAATTTACGTTCACTGATTATGAATTTCTGTTATTTGGTTTCGGTAGCATTGGAAGAGTATGTCCGCGGCAGTGTTCAACCTATAAGGATTTTTTTGGGAACAAATTGGATGAAATCGTTCAAAAAAACAGTATTTTGAAGGGTTTTATTAGTGTTGCTGATTAACTTGTGGTGAAGAATGTTGCAAATTCCGATTTTGGAGCCTTATTTTGCTGTTACGACGCACATTCCAAATCAGCCAAAGAAACTCCTAAAGAAAACCTGAAACCTTCTTTGTCAATAACTCTATACAGAAGTATAATTTAGTGCTCCTTATTTTCTTCCTTGAACTTCCGATTTTTTCCTTCAAAACCTTGTAATCCGATACTTGCATACTTCGTATTCATCCTGTTCCCAAGTGGTTGGATCATCCCAAACACGTGGTTTCACCCATATGCAGCAGCAGTTGCTCTTCAGCCTGCCTAGATGTTCATTATCGATGGTGCCATCAGCCCAAGTAACATGCGGTCGTTCGATTTCACGCTGTGTTAGGCGTAGAATCAGTGGTGCTAAAGGCAGTTCTGGGTATTAAATTTTATAAATTATATTTTACTTACTGACTTTCTTTCATCTGTTCTAAAAAAACCAGTGGAGAATTTGTTATAATTATTTGCTTGGACCAGTCACAATTTAATGGAACGTCGGGTAACCTAATAAGTCTAGTTTAAATAAAGTGGCAGTCGTTGTGAGGCATTTATGCATTAAGGAGAAATTCAGGCTCAGCAAAGACTTGATGTTAAATTTACGTTTTTTTCTTAAATTTGCATTTTTAGAAAAAATTCTTTTTTAAATTTTTTTAATTTTATCGATCATTATAATGGTATATATATATATATATATATATATATATA